TCGCTTCATGCTACAGAAACCGGGATAAGCTCCGGCCTGATGGGCCACTTGGCTCGCATGCAGACTTAAGAGCAGAAAAGTCGTGTAGATCAGTATGACATATTGCACACGTGCATATGTAAGTAAAAGGCGGTAAAATGTAGACGATGTTAGGATCTGGAGGATTCCGGCTTGTGGCCACCTGGAACTGAACCCGGCTTCTCTCTATTAGTTGGTCGATTTTGTCCTTGTATTGAGGAATAAAACACGCTGGTTAGGTTGATCTTAATGAGACTCGACGAAACGGCGTGGCAGTTATTTTTTACTAAAAGAAGTTTTACAACTACTGAGAAACTTCCACAATATGACGCAAAGACAGTTTAAGTTGACACATTTTAATTATATCCCATATGAACAAAATAAAATTACATCAGAATTTGATACGAAGGAAAGTAACTACACCACGAGCATATCCACAGGATGCAGGGTTGTTCATTGGTTGGCTGCAACCGTATCCTGGAAATAATGAAATGCTACCGTCACTATAAAGTGCCTGAAACTAAGCTCCGCAGGTCTCACTACTTAGTAACATAGACATGTAATGAATCGGGTGATATTTTGTCTGATATGTGCCATTTTACATCTTGGTGGACGTGACCTTTCTTGGCATGTCGTCGCTATCATTCACACGGTTTTATTCATAACAAAGATAATACCATGCAATGGACAATGCTTTGCGAGTAGCCCTTTGAAAAGTACCGCACTGGTGACGCGAGTTGCATTGAAAGCATTACGCGTGTACAAACAAAAGCCCTAGAATTCCATCATTCAGGAATCTTGTAGAACCTTGGGCCAACCTTGTAACTGCAAGTAGTTTTACTTCACAGTTTACCATCTTTCCGGGGTAACTATAGAAATATAAGTATAACAATGGCAAAACTTTTGACGTTCGAATTTGTTGCTGCGGTTAAGATAACTGGTAGTAAGTCACTTTCTGAGCTCAGGTAACTAACGACTTCGATGCCTCTTTCACTGCTAAACGAAGTCTTTCGAAATTTTGCTGTTTAATTCCTGTTTATTCTCTAATTTTGTTCTAACTACGCAGATCTCAAGGTGATCCATTGCAACCAGCGGTCAAACCACCGCTTGAGCAACTTGTTGAGAACGTGAAAGAACCTGTTGAAAAGCCACCTCCTCACGCACGGCCTCTCCGACGGTCACATACGGACCCTACAGACCTTCTCTGGGTTTTCCGCAGACGAGCTTCCTTACTGAAACAACGCGTTCAACAAAATATCGCTTCAAGTCAAAGTAATGAATGCAATGAACCTTATCGAGTTGAAAACGATGAAAGCAGCTCTCAGATAAAGGAAGGATTAAACGCGAGTGCCATCGATAAGGTACCTACATGATAACTGTGATGATTGAACCGACTTCAATGGTATTTGTTATAGATTTTTTTTTTTTTTTTTTTTTTTTGTCACAAATGGTTTCTTTCCATGGGGGAATCTGAAGTTGCACATTGGCTTTACTTCAACTTTTACGAGTTGATCTATTGTTTCTGAAGTGCTTTTAATCTCCTATTGGAAATAATTCACCACAAAAGGTGTACAATGTATGTAAACAACATCATGGTGAGACTTGTTATGGGCAATCGAATCTCTTGACGCTCTACGAGATCGAACGGTGCCATACATTTTTAAATCACGATTTGTCGAAATGTGTAAATGTACTTATCGAACAAGAGACCTTTCACTCGTTAATTTACATTGTTAATTTGGGTATTTGTTTCTGGTAAGCCTTACTTTGTTTTCAATTATGTTTAATATTGTTTTTCACAGAACGTATATGCCGTTAATCTGTATGTTGAGACGAGTTGTCTCGATAACAATCTTATATACCAATGTTAACTATTCGTGTTGACCGTTAACAGACCTAAAATTTTTGTCATGAATAGATTAATAGTCTTCATTAAGAAGCACTTTCCAAAATATGTAGCACATAGTCATCTTAAAATTAGTCAAGGGAACTGGTGCCTTGCAGAAATACAATAGCCCCAGACTAGCAATTAGGAGTTTTGTAAGCGCGAATGACAAATCATACTGTTTGTTTATAATTGAGGTCTTATTTGTGGCTGTGATGGTAACTTGTTCTAAATGCATACATCGTTATTTATTTAGGCCAGCGTAACCCAGTGAGGGTCAAAGCTGACTCTGGTGTCAAAAGTAACCATTGTAAA